TGGCAACACGACAGAGTAAAGGGCAAGTCTGCAGCTCCTTCCACAGCCCAGGGCTTTGTCGGGATCGCACGCGTGAGTGGGATCCAAGCCAGCAGCAACCGCTCCAGTCTCCAGGCTCGGCACCCACCGACCCGGGGTAGGGCAGAGGAAACGGCGTCTTCCTTCTGTCAGTAGTTCCAGGGTAACGGAGCGTGATTCAGACCCCAGGGAGCGGGGCCGCATGCGAGCAACACGCAGCCATCGCGCTCGGCTCGTTCCCGCCGCCGTCAGGAGCATCAACGCACTCGCCACTGTTCCAGTCTTCACAATCCCCGGAGACAGAGTCCTGACATCACCCCACGTGTAAACACCTAATTCTTCCTCTTTTAAGCGCATCCCGCATCCGGGATCGCACAAAGTCATTCGTAAGGATTCTGAAACTCGGCATGTTCACAAAGTCGCTTTTCCCTAAGCGAGCCGGGTTGTCCGTCCCTCCTACAGCCCATTGCTATTCCTGTGGCTGAGCGGCGGTTTTGAAAGCTCTACAACTGTCGAGCGAGATTTATTGAGAAACTTTGGAGCCCGGCGCAGCAACCTCTGGGCCTCAGTAAAAGCTTCTGTCAGCTCTTTTTTCCATTGAACAAACTCTGGGTCACTCTGAAAGAGATACAGAAGGAGTTTGGCACTTCATAGTAAACCGCCAACAGCATCTTCTCTCTTACGACAGCACTTTAAGCAACTTATTTTAACTTCTCAAAGGAAGGAGTAACTTGGCATTCGGGAAACGTGCAGCCTTTTGCTTCTCCATCCCGCCCGCCAAAGCCAGGGGAGGCAGCGGCAGCCTCGGACAGCCGAAGCGTTCAGGGGACTCGCGGACTTCGCCAACACGTTAGCTGCCACACCGGGATGAGGCACGGGCCACGAAGGCCTTCAGAGCCTGGGCAGGCTGAGAAGTTTGCAAGCTTTTAGTCATTTATTAAACTGAACTCGTTTTGGCCCGAATACCACTGGAATCCATGACAGAAACTAGCATAGCTGCAGCTTTCCTGCTTCCAAAATTCAAGCGTGATAAAAACATCCCAGTTTCGCTTCGGTTCACTTAATTAACTTAGTTAACACATAATGGGAGGACCTGAAAAGCTTGTCAGTCATCTTATCATATGCAAAACGATCTGATTAATGGTTAGTGAAAAAACAGTGTCTCTCACCTCACATTGTAGGACAAACTGTTTTCCTCCTTTAATTCTCAGCAAGATGCATTTCTTATCTTTAATTTGCGTTTCTTCAACAGATACTATTTGTTCCATTGTCAGGAGGTTTTGCTGTAGCATTTGCAAAAGAGAAACAACAACCAAAAAAAAGCAGAGAGATGATTCCAAAAACCCTGTTACCCATCAAAAGCCACAATCTAATTTTTCTGGACTAGCCACATAAATCAAGTTATGAACATTAACAGTCATTACACAACCGTTTCTTTATTTCTCAAGACTGGGGCATGAACTAAAGATAGATTATAAGGTAAGGGAGAGATTTAGCAAGGGGCTTGGTTGCTTCAGCAGAGACTATGAAATATAAGCTAAGAAGGCCAGTAATGACAGCATGAAATAGGCTTCTACAAATAGGCGTGTCTACGAACAAAATATTCGCTATTTTCCCTCAAGAGAGTTGCACACAATTTTATATATTTTCCAAGTATTACTGCTGTTAAATTTAAAAAAAAAAAAAGACAACCTTGCTGACTATTTCAAAGAGCTGAAAGGGAATATTCAAGCACTACGTACTTACAAAGAGGCAAACATACACAACAGTTTGCAGAAAAGCTTTCCCTATACACTGTAAGAGGACAATCACGTTTTGAAACTCCAAAATCTGACTTAACTAAATACACAAAGGATCTGCCTAGCACATGATCACAGCTGGGCTACACTAAAGTCACTATAGCATTTTCTTTGCAGCAAAATGCTATAGCCTTTATGACCTTACCAGTTTATGTTTTTTAGTATAAATAGTCCAGAGGTCCTAAATGAAAAACAACACCATGAACTACCAAACTCCTTTAAAAACAGAACAAAGCAAAATAAGCAGGTTTCTCAAGTCAACATTCCCTCGGTGCGGTGTAGCTACCCCTTAACTCCAGCGATACTCAAGATAAGCTCCTGCAATCCACGGGACATTTGCTCGGGCAAAACTCTCCTGTTCGCATCCCCCGCCTCTCGCGCCTCCCCGGAGCGACGTCGCTTACCCGCGACTCCCCTTCTCCTCGCCACTCCAGTCGGTTTGGGAAGAGGTAAAAGTAACGGCGCTGCCACTGAGTCAAGAACGGGTTCCCCAGCTTCAGCATGTACCCGTGCATGATGCAGTCCTTCCCCAGCGCGTAGTCTGCAACGAGCAGAGACATCGGTGTGAAAACCAGGCGCTGCCTAAAGCATTGGCGAGGCAGGACACGGTCCCGGGCACAGCGGGACTCGAGGTGCCCCCACCGACATGCGCAGGCACACACCAAGCCTGTCCTGCCTTCTCTACATGAGCTGATAGGGCTGCGGTGGAGAATTTGGTTCTTAAAAAAGGTATCTGATTTAAAAAATTGTCTCTTGCTACCCAAGGTTCAGCTTGTGGGGCAAAACCCCTGTGCAAACAAGCAACGCTGGCTGTAAAGGGCCTCCTTCTGTCTTCTTTCCTAGCATCTTTGTCGTGAAATCAAACCCCACGTGCTCTTCCCCGAGCACACACCAAAACAGAAACAACGAAAGGCTGAACGCGATAATCTTCACGAGAGAGTAACAACGGATTTTCCAAAGCGTTATGTCGTCACCCAGCATTTCAAAACACTAAGTAACACCCTAAACACAACACGGATTAAATGAATTCTAACAATTACGAGTGAGGGACAGCAATGAGAGGCTGTTGTGTGAAACTCCAAGCCCATGAAGTACTACCCAGCAGCGAAAAGTGGAGAGAAGCGTGTCTGATGGATTACCTTCCTCATGGCCAAGCTGCTTATTTTTGGCCCTTTTTCTGGCCTCAATTTTATCCGTGTCTGCATTTACTGCATCATAAACCGTTTCTGCTACTTCTTGCTGCCAACGCTCTGATATTACCAGAGGGAAGTTCTTATACAACTCCTGGTCACTATCCAGCAACTTGCAAGAGAAAAACAAGATAAAAACACATGTTAATAACTTTTACTATTCTTATCCTCCATAGCTCACAGTTACCCATGTAACAGTACTGTTTTAAAAGATGTACTGGACTCTAACCTTATAGAACAAACAGGTGTAAACAAGAGAAAACGCAGGTGCTAATTTAAGCAAATATATTCATTTATATACAGAGAACAGGCCTGTTCAATTCATCTGAAAGCTCTAAAAGCCTTACTCACCATCGATCCATGCTCTGTAGACTTTACATTTAATAATTACTTAAATGTGAGCATAGTATTGCTACCTCTGTTGCATAATCAGCGTTAAGGAAACACCTAATTGTGTTAAAAACCTTCTCAGGACCAAAATGTAAGTGAGAAGATACCTTTTACACAACGCCGCCTTCCATGCTTCCAGGGCTTAACCTTACATCCTTAATAACTAACCTTCAAAACTCAGCAGTGCGTGCTGTAGACCTCAATTTTCCTGTTATATAGATTCTTTTTTCCCCTTGAATCTTTAACTACATTACTTGAATTGCACTGAAGGAAACTAAAATTACTGGATCTTCAAGCAGGATCGTGGGTTGCATGACACAGCAACTCTGTGCAAGTGGTGTATGGGGATTCCTTATGGCACCCAAGAGAGAGGGGAAAGCCACGGGCAACCACTGCTGGGTGTCCAGCGTGTAACCTCCAAGAAGTGTCCTTCTCGCTGTCACAGGACGCTCTGTGGTATAAATAAAACCTGCCGGGGCAGCAGAGGTGAGCGAGGCACTTAAACCCGGTGTCCTCCTGGGCAGAGACGGCTCCCGACACCTTAAGAGAAGGTCTGCAGCTGAGTCAGAGGCACGAATTATTCAGTCCCTTCTAAAAGACTGTGACATCCCAGTGAAAGCGCAAAGAAGCCGTACATGATACCCCCCACTGACTCATGACTAAGAATAAATTTATCTTATAGGCAGCCTGAAAAAAAGTGACGCGGAAGTGATCCCGCTCTATGATTCTGAGAACATCTGATCCCCTCGGTAAATACAAGACCACCTGCCTTCTTCCTGCAAAATGTTCCTCTGAAGCACGGCAATCCAGAGCTGCAGGGACCTGGAATCCTGTTAGACTAACACTGATGCTGAAGACGTGGGTTTTTCTGAGATAAAGAACATCTTGGGTTCCCTGCTTCTCTCTCAGAATGAGTAAAATCCTGTCTGCGCCAACTTCTGTAATTGCAGCAGGTGACACTGACAGACAAGTTCCCTTTCAGGCACAGTGAGTACTTCACATGGATTTTTGCTTATAAAGTTTAGAGCAATTAGTTTCTCTCCTGACTCACTCCTGTAATAACACAAAGTAAGTCTGATCTCGCGACAAAGTGCACGATAAAAATAAGGAGTGGGACAGACCCCAGGAAAAGCACCGATTCAACCACTGCCTCCAAGTGCCAGGGATGCTTCAGAAGAGGGGAGGAACACGGGGTACATCACGTCACCTCCAGGCGAGTCAGAAAGGGGCCAGCAGCTTTAACTTCTCCTTCTTTACACTGGGTAACATCAGAACCTGGAATTTTCTTTGATCGCTTTTCTAACTTAGAAAGTCGCTACCATTAATACACACTTTGTCACTTTTAAAGAGTTTTCCACAGCACTCCCTGACACTACAAAAAAGGTAACAAAAAAGGTAACACTACAAAAAAAGAATGTTTAGTTCGTTTTATCCAGCTACTAGAAACAAATTACCATTTTTAAAACTACAAACCATGAAGCATTCTTGAAAATCTGAGGATTTCACAAAAGCTGCCTGACCATTTGAAATACTTAACGCGCAAAACTTCTGACAGGAAGGTAGACTGCAGTCAACCTAAAAAGGACCTGGGCAAGCGACAACAAATCGGCCAACCAGCCTAAGCCACCTCTTTCATAACAGCATCATGTTTCCAAACTTGAAAGCAATTCCCCGCACACTCAGTAGCCCCTGGAGCAGAGGAGTGGCTCGCACACGTGAGAAGTTAAGCTCGGCAGCCACGGCTCCAGTCTCTACGTCTCACTTCAGGCTGTATACCTTAATGCCTTTTGTGTCCTCTTCATCGAAGGAGCCAATATCAAAAGCATCTGCTGCATTTACTTCTCCCCGGGGAGGAATCAACGGTGGAGGATACTAGAAATGAAAAGCAGCAAAAGTAAAGATAAATTAAGGGGCATTATTTAAATCCATTTTGTAGAGAGGCGCGGTGGTGTTGTTTTTCACACAAATGACACGTGGCTGTGCAAAAGTACGTCCCCTGATATTAAGCTTCAGTGCAAAGTTGTTCCCCGCTTCTTTAATAAACAGCCAAAAACTTGGGGGAAAAACCCGACAGTTTAGAGACAGCCGATTGGAAGAAACCACACAGTTATTTGACCCTGACAAAGTGCGAATTCAGCGCTACCCACCAGGAAGACGTGTAATGAATATACACCAGTTTTCACCAACAATCCTCCACATATTCACAAAGTGAGTCCGTGTGCTGGGGACTGGAACCCTGAAAGTTTCTGTCCATTCCCTGTTTCAGCCTCTTTCATTGCTTTCCCACACAAGCTAAGGTTACCAGCTTAATCCTTTACCTTTTGTAAATACACTTGCTGCCAGTCGATGCCTTTGAAGAAAGGATGTTCCTTTACTTCTTGTGCGCTGCAAAACAGAAGTAACTGAAGTCAACAAAGCGAAGGGGCTTTTCATATGTATTTTAGAAATGCAAAGCCTTCAAACGTCATGCTTCTGCCACCAGGGAAGCAAAAATAAAAATCTTCCCAAGCCAACACTAGACCCAGTGCTGTGGGTCTGGCAAGCAGACTTCCAACAACAAACAATACTGGGCTATTGTCAGATCCCACATACTGCTTTTAGGCAACAAGCTCACTCCACACCATTTCATATTAGACATATTTTACGGCAAAATTAGCAACTGCTCTTAACAGGCCCAGGGCTGAGAAGCACTCTCAGGTCATTATCACAGAGAGCTCCATGCGAACAAGCCTTGCTGCAATCAGAGCCAGCCCCAGTCTCGGGTGTGACTACCAATTAACTGTTATCACACACTGCCAAGGGTTTCTCAACACTTATTTACTCCTCTCAAGAGTTCTCTCTCCAAGGCTCACAGGAGGCACACACCCACTTTTGAACCAGGTGATAACAACAATTTCAGGTAACAGCCCGAGGCAAGGTAAGCCTGGCAGGAGCAAGTGGTGCTTTGTAGTCAATAAGCAAAACAAACAACAAAAAAGTGCCCTTTTCCTTAGAATCCTGAGATCAAACAGGTACATCTGGAAATAGAGGCAACACAAAACGAAGCAAGTATTCCCAGCTTGGTGGTTTGGGGAATTTCTTGTGTGTAACATGCTTGTATCATTAGAGATACAATATAAGCAATAAATTTTAGCTATCAGTATGTCTGAGTCAAGTAATGCGGCTTCATGCCAAAACAGATCAGGCAAAACCACAAAAACAACCCAGGGATGGAAGTATGAACACCTCCCAATGGCAGCACGACTGCAGAGAGCTCGGGGGAAGCCTTTAATGACAGAAATTGTCCAAAAATTTTTCCAAAACAAAAGAAGGCTGAAATGTAATTCCATGTAATAGCACTTTTTAATGTTCTCTTTCCAAAATTAAGATCATCACAACAGGAAGCAGATTTTTACTTGAAACGAATCCATTCATTTACAGAGAAGTGGAAATTTTTAAAGGCAGCGCTCCAAGGAGAAGACAACACCTACCTTCTTCCTTGGCATCCAAGCCTCTTGCTAACATCCCGCTGCAGCAGCCCTTCCAAAAGGGACTTCAGCTCAGGAGAAAATGAATCTGGTAGCTCCACATTCTATGAGAAACAAGAAGAGACGTTCAATTACAGCACGATCTGCTTTCCCCACACAGGTGAGCAGCTTTTCTCTGACAGCTTTTTGTAAACAACCCTTCCACGTGTACACAGAGCTTTCTCAAAAGGCTGGCCACGAAGCTCCAGTTTTAGAGGAAATGGGAGTTTATCAAACAAAAGGAATGTCACTGCAACTGTCCCCAGGAGCCTTACCACGGTGAGCGTCATCCGGTCGATCTCGTGCTTATCTTTGGTTTTGTGCTGTCTGAAAGGACTGTGACTGTAGAAATAAGACAAGGCACTAATAAATGTAAAGTCATAACATATCAGGTTATTTCAGCTGTGGCAACCCCAGGAAAGAGCGCAGCATCCCGTCATTCGTTTCTTCCACCTCACCAATCCTGATCTGCAGAACAACAACCCAAGCAGTAAAGCATTTAGCATTTACTGTGGCTACTAGCTACCAGTTAGTCCATCTGAGTTCATCCTCCATATTAATTTATTCCTAAATGCAACGATCCGTCCTTCAAGAGTGTTTCAAAAGCCTTACCAATTAGACTCGCGTCTCCCAAAAACCAGAACATCTGGCAAGAAAACCCCAACAGCCACCAGAACCCAGATATTTAAAAACGTTGATCTACACAGGGAAACCGCATATGACCTACAGAACTCTCTGCTCCTCTATATGGGAGGAATGAAGCAAGACCTTCAAGGAAGTAGATGAAACAGAAGCCAATCACAGATACCACAGCATCAGCGACTGAGAAAATATTTGATGGTATCTGGTAAATTATCAGCTTTATAACTCTGTTTTGTGTTTGAATTTTTCCTTTCAACTAGAGAAAACCTCACAATATTACTGATGTACCACGCAGTACTTAAAAAAGAGCAGGAAAGAAAGCAGAAACATTTTAGTAAGAGATTTTTCAGTTAGATTTAGGATATATTCCCTGTTTCTTAGTTTTCTTCAAATCCTTGAGGGGATGATACTTTTCAAAATTAAAATGTTGTTTACTTACTAATACAGTAATACTCAAAAGAGTGGATAGAGCATCTGCCTCCCTCACTGCCCCACACCTGCACCTACTAAAGGAAGCAGGGCTGGCATTTTGTTTATTTTGGAAGCAAAAAAAAGTGCTTGCTCACGTGCAGACATGGTCCAAGTTGCAGAGATGGCAGTCAGATACCATTTTAGATAATATGTAATACATTACGTATTAATATTTCAAGAGACATATGACCATGGGGCCCAGGCTAAGAAAACTCACAGATCCCAGGGGACGTGAGACTTCACTCACCCTCTTAGAAGTTTGAACAGCATGCAGCCTAAGGAGAACCAGTCGGCACTGCTGTCGTATGCCGTTCCCTTCTGGAGCACCTCGGGAGCCATGTATCCGTGGGTACCTCTGAGAAGCACAAAGGGACAAAGTCTCAATTACAACCAAATAAAAATAAGTAATAATGAAAAATTGGTGGTTTTTTCTAGTAAGATACCTTAATTTAAAAGGAACTACTTTCAAACATGATTTTGTTTTGCTTTTTCTTTGGCCATATGTACATCTGCACGTTCTGTTTGTGAACATCAACTGAGGAAACGCCTCAAAACACAAACAGCAGAAAGGGTCGGGCAAACCAAAGGAGCTACGTGGAGATTTAGCTCAGCACAGCGTCAGCGAGCAGCCTTCTCTCTAAGAGTGGAACACAAGAGGCAGAAAGGCTGGGTGCTCTGTCCACTCGGTTTATGGGACAGACAGAGCCCAGGACAGGGCCAGGATTCCAGGCCAGATTGCTCCAGCCCTGGGTGCTGCAAGAGCGAGAGCTGCTCTCAGGCAGGAGCCCGGGAAGGGGTGAGCAGAGCTGGCTCGTGCTCGCCCAACGCCCTTCTCATGTCTCGCCCCCAACACCAGGACACCTTCCCCCGGAGCCGTCGCTGGTCACCTCCAGCGAGCAGCCACCACGCACTGCTTTCACCTTTGACGTAATCGGGATGTATGAGAAGCTACTGAATTGCAAATCTTTAAAGATATGACAGGATGAGGTGTTCCCTTTTGCATAACTTCTGAGACTAAATCAGGGCAAACAAGGACCTAAGAATAAAATGTGCCAGATAAGATGTGGAATCCACACATGACCCAGGAAACTCAGATCCCAGTTATGAGCTGATGCCAAGAGGCAGAAAGGAACACAAGTTGCCTCCAGTTCTACAAAGATGCAGAGAAAGACAATAAATCCTGGTTTTCAGTCAGTTTTGGAATATTTAATTATCCATTTAGGACAATTAAAACAATCTGGCGCTTTAACTCAGTCAGGTTCTTATCTTCTCTGAACAGTGAATCATCTCGAAATAATGTGTCATCTTCCAGCCATGCCTACACATCAGCTGCTACAACTGTGCAGGAAAACAAAAAGAGGAGACTGAAGAACCTTATCAGAGTATCCAGCTTAGCTGTGTTACAAAGCACCACACAAGTGGGGTTTTCTTCCTTTAGGCAAAGTTAAATTACAAAGACACGTAAATGACTTATTTAGCATTAATTGCATGCGGAGTAAAGCTCCCATACATAATACTTACACACTAGCATGTGGCTTCTTTTTGGAGAAATCGCAAGCCAGCCCAAGGTCCGATATCCTCACGTGCCCATGTTCATCCAACAAGATATTTGCGGGCTAGAAATCCACAGACACAGACAGGTTACTGCTTGGTATTTTTCAGCTGACAGAACTACGAATTCTCAGAACACAGTAACTCATTCTCAAACATCAATATTCTCCAGTAATTGGTAATCATCTTTTTTCATTTTTAAATCAATATAACAGACACTTTCTAGATAAAATCCATGCTCTAATGAAGCGCTAACACGGACTATGAAATACTGAAGAATTACAGAAGGAAAAAAAAAAACCCAACAGGCAAGGTTTGAAACAGAAAGCACAGGAAAGAATAAATCTGCTTTGGCCTGAAGTCCACAACGCTTTTGGTTCTTTCACAGAGGGTCTGTGTGTGGCTCCCAGATCTTTTATTTGCAATCTACACTCTGAGTTTTCTATGCAGAATTTTCCCCACTTTTGTTGTCACTTGGCTCAGGGACGACTCTCTCGGAGCAGTCCTCAACTTCTCAAACACCCCCAAGCAACTGTCCTACTAGTCTCCTGTCACACACACTCCTCTTTCAGAAATACAGCACACTCCCTAAATTAATACCATCATTAAGATGTTAAGTGAGATGAGTAACACCACACAGGATTTATTCCGACCCCAAGGAAGCACCTCCCAGGCTAGTTAAAGTGGATAACAGTGGCGATTTGAAAAAATACTAGAAAAATCAGCCAAAAAATAAACAAACAGTCTGTGTTCTTCCCAGGAAAAGGTTTCAGGTAAGAGAACTGACTCAATTTATCCGCACATCTGCGTTATTTGCTGCTATCCAACAACCACCCGTGTGACCACAGTCACTACGTTAACGATTACCTTTAGGTCTCTGTACACAACGAAGCGATTGTGCATGTGTTCTAAACCCAGGATGATTTCAGTAGCATAAAACCTCATTTCTTTTTCAGAAAACACTCCATGCTGGGAGAGGTGGTAGTGCAAATCTCCTCCTAAAATGAGACAAATGGAGATGTAATTAAACGAACAGTAAAAGCTTGCCTCGCAGGCAGACAGCCTGACCTCGTGGGGGAACAGCATCCCGTCACCTCCTCAAGCTCCCACGCTAGTAGGCCCTTTGGTATTTTTACTTAAGTATGTTAATGTGATAAGGTAACAGATTTTCCAGTCTGTTCTGTACGTTGCCTGCTTTAGATCGACCTAGCCCTCCCGCTCGCAGGCCAACGCTTCACACCTCAGGTTATTTTTCCCCTCATTCTCCTCAGCCAGCCCTCCGGCCAACATTTCTGCGATATTCTCATCATCTGCACGAGTCTTGCTTACCATTCATCAGGTCCAGAATGAAACAGAGTTTGTCGGGGGTGTGGAAGGCATAGGTCATACACACTATAAAAGGACAGTCCTAGAAGGAAAGGAGCAAGGAGTTCATCTCAAGCCATCAGCAAAGCACGCCACTGAGAAGCTAAAAACACACATGACACTTCTCCTATGATATTTGCCAATATTCACAATAATTTTCTAAAGCAATCTGTGTACTATTCTACATACACTGATGTTTCACAGTTTAGAGATCTTAGATTTTGCTATCTCGTTTCAGTACAAAAATTTAAAAAGCTACGAGGAGCCAAGGGCTTAAAAAACACAGGTAGCATCACTGCCTTCTGCAGACTTGCAACTGCAGCAGGTAGAAATGTTCTAAAAATATTTACCTGAGCTTGCACTAGATTTAGATGAAGGACACATTAAAGCTAACAAGCTTCAGGCCAGCTCAGACAAAAATAAAGCTGTTCCCGTGAAGTGTAAAGGATATGCACTATTTCCCACGATGGCACGGCAAACGTTTGGCTGTCGGAACGTTGACACAGAACCTGAGTCACGTCATGTGCAAAACTCCAAAGGGAAGACAGTTTTATTTTTACTGAGGAACACAGGATTGATTAGACTCAATTAGACTGTGGCCCATTTGTTCCTATATCCTGCCTCAAGCAATGAGTGAATTCTGGTACAGAACCATTACGGTTGGGAAAGAGCTCAGAGATCATCCAAGTCCTATCGTCAATCCAACCCCACCGTGGCCACCAAACCACGTCCCCAAGTGCCACGTCTGCCACGTCCAGGGCTGGGGACTGCAGCGCTGCCCCGGGCACCTGTCCCAGGCCTTCACCACTTGCTCAGTAAAGAAACTTTTCCCAATGTCCAATCAAAACCTCCCCTGGTGTGACTTGAGCCACTTCCTCTCGCCCTATCGATAGCTGCCTGGGAGAAGAGACCAACCCCACCTCACCGCAACCTCCTGTCAGGGAGCTGCAGAGAGCGAGAAGGTCTCGCCTCAGCCTCACCTTCTCCGGGCTGAACAACCTCAGCAGCTCCTCATCCTCACCCAGCGAACAAAGCAGCACGGTGGGTGCAGACTGAAGAGTGCCGCTGCGGGGCAGGGCTGGGGTACACAGAGCAGACCCCCAGCTCCTGCAGCGCTTCCACCTCAACTCACACAGATGTGTAAGACAAGCAGCTGGAACAACACCTCTTCACTGTCGACCATCAGTGTGCTGGTACCTCTGTAACGCAGCTGCACCGAAAGCCGCCACCGTGGAAAGCTGGCAGAGCTTCCTCTCCTCATTAGGCCTACGCTGAAGGCAAGTGGCTAATTAATAGGGGGCGGTTATACCTCGCTGACCCCTTCTCCAAAGCCATATGAAACCAGGGCTGTCTGGGCAGTCTACCACAAAAACCCGAGGAGCCACGCTACCGAAAGCGCCGGGCTGCGCCGCGCCACCAAGGGAGCCCAGGGTGCAGAGGCCGAGAGGGAGACGAGCTACGAGGAGCCCGAGGGCTGCCAAGCCAGGGCACCCCAGGAAGCCTGACTTAACCAACGTGCTAACTACTGCAGCGATGAGAGTGAAAGCTCTGGCAATCTCCAGCAGGAACCAGTTTCCTTCCGGATTTAGACGCGGCCAAGCGCGGCGGCCTTGGGCTGAGCAGGGCAGGAAGGGAGGGACGGGCGACGCTGTCCTCGCCAGGTCGGCTCAGCCTTCCACTAAACCATGCGAGGATGAAAGACTCCATCGGCTCCACCGTAAGCCTCAGCGACTGCCACAATTTGATTTTCTGAATAACTGGTAAGCATCCCCAGGCTGGCTTCCTCAAACCTTACAGCAGTCGAATCACCCGGCAGGGTTTAGTGTTAGAATCTAAACACCGTACACAGCAAAGAGAAATGGTGTTTCTGTGCCAGAACATAATGTGCCTATATTTTTATTGATCTAACTTTTTAAAAAGAAAAGGAATCTCCAAGTGTGTGCTGTATAATTAATTTTTGTGCAAGCCTTTTCAATCACTACCCTCTCACTGTTTAACAGAGAGAAGAAACTGTAATAGTACAATATTTTTCTGATACCAAAAAACACCGCGAAAGAATACTTACCAGCACAAAAATAAAAAAACCCACAACTTCTAAGTAATTTTTTAAATGAAACATAAAGCAATGAAGCAAATTTCCCAAGAGAGGAATACTTTGTCGCAGTCACGCTCCTGCTCTGAAGACAGTGCGACAACGACGTGTGAATTGAGAATGGTTTGGAAACAGTTCCTTTTATCCAAACAATCCTGGATTAAGTCCAGCAAATTGCAGAAGAGAAATTTCTGGCAATAAACCATGTGGAATGAAAAAATAAATAGAATAACTATATAAAAACTGTAGGAGTGTGATATTTTAAAGACAGTAGCACACTAACAATTCCTTTAGAAGGAAACCTCTGATTCTGACACTTCCCTGTAACCCAAGCTCCTGGCTTTAGAGCTCGACTGTAGAAATGACAGCAAACAGATAAAAAAATGTGTTCACCACGTAGAGCAGCTGTGCAGCATTTTTACTAAGAGTCTGTCTGTCCTGACAGGGCTCACTCGGAAAGATCTGCTGGAAGCATCAAGCTGTTATCTGCCGTTCCCACAGACGTTCCTTCAAGTGACAATCAAGATTTGGGAACAGATCACAGGTTTTGAGTGAAATCGAGACTCCTACAAATCTTGGTACGCACAAAAACAAAGCACCTGTTCTTGTCAGGAAAAAAAAATTGATTATTCATCTCAGACGTTCTATCGTTCAGCCTGTTCACTTTTGCTGTACCTTGTATTTATCATGCCTGGAGGAAATCTTGAGTCTAGTATTTAGACAAATAACCTGAAAAAGAGCCGAGTGAAACAGCTTAACTGCCTAGCTTTTATGGAATGAGAGAGCCAGAGTACACAGGAGAGGGGGGGCCAAGCCCTGCCCGGCCCCGGGTCAGCAGCAGACCCCTGGAATGACTGCCCACCCAGAGAAGCGTTAGTAAAAACCCACAGAGGGCTCCTTTGGGCACATTGAGTTTATAAAGCCCATCAGCAGCAAAGGCCTTGGTGATCTCCATGTCCAGTTTTTGAACATTAGGCAATATTGACTATTAAAAGAAAAAAAACAAAACAGTTTTCCGTAAGAGAAAATAAAATATGCTATCCTCTAAGAATTTCAGAACGCGCTTCCAGCCTCCGGACTGAGCATCTCTGCGGGAGGGGAAGACAGAGCCTGGTGCTGTGCAGAAGAGGAAACACAAACCTCAGCATCAGTTCATCCACGTTGCACCAACAGCCAGCGGCCAACAAAGAACCTGACGGCAAACCCGAGGAACCCAGAGTCCGCATCTCGTGTCACGAGGGCACCGCCAGCCGCTCCCCGTGCTCAGCAGAGGCGCCTGCCCCGCGTCCAAGCTGCCCGGCCTCGAAACGCCACTGTGAAAAGCCGCTCTCACCACGCAGCCCCAACGCACGCAAATTTGGGAGCTGCCTGCTCAAGAAGTGGCTGCGAACGCCAAAATTTGAGGTGGATTAACAGAAATGATTACACAAACGTATGTGTAATCTGCACAGCTGTTATTATGTATTTTGCAGCGACATCTGGTTTCCCAGTTAAATGACTAATTGTACTATGATGAACTTCCCAGTTCCATTTTGTTCCGGGCAGCACATAAATCCTGTCACTGGGGAAGGCACGTGCCATTCAAACCCAATAGCTGATATTCAAGAATGAAATGAATTACCTTACTCTACCATTTTGAAACATATTTAATTCTGCATAATCAAAACACTCCAGCATCTCCTCCACCGGCGGGTGTACCCAACGTGAGAGGGGAGCACGTTGTACAAAATCTCTCTTTTCAAACTCTCTTTCAAATTTTGAGAACCTAGAGGAAGTGACACTCTAATGAGCTGATAATCCTTAATGAAAAACCCAAATGGTCCGTCTTGCTTTTCTGCTGCTGAATGAGTAGGTATGCACTGTCACAGAAAGAAAACTAGTTCCACCACTAGCAGCCTTGGGAACAATTTTCTTCTTGAATGACTAAGACATGGAAACTCACATTCAGGACTGGAGCACCAGAATTAAAAATTAAACGACCATTGTTTCTAAGTTGCCTAGAGTTCTTGTCTAGTCTCTCCTCCACTGGCTCTCAGGACAAGCCACAATTTATCTTTGGTGAAAACAGTTAACTTGATTCAAAAGTCTAACTGATAAATCCCAGTCGTTAACCTCACAGCACTAAGAACAACGAAATCCTTTCCAGCCCTTTGTCTATCTTCATGGTCCAGCCAAACGTGAACACAGTTCTGTGTTAAAAGGGAATTCCCCAACTGTTCATGTCAGTGCACGTCTGCCCTTCTCCGGAGCGAGGCTGAGGCAGGGGAGGGGATCCCATTGAAGAAGAAATACCTCGTCCTTCCTTCTGAGCTTTGCAGTGAGGAGAAAGTCCAACCGTGTGATGGCACCTTGATGCATAGCTTCCCCGGTTTCTAGTTTACAACTTGCCTTACCAGGATCTTTCCAACAGCAGAGGAAAATGATCTGAAGGGTAGCAGGAAAAGTTCGAAAGATAATTTTCTAGGGGCAGAATTGCAAACAAGCTTTCTCCTTCTGTCAATGCACACAAGAGAGCATCTCCCACGCCGGTCGCGAGGCTGCAAAGTCCCCGGTCTTGCCTGATTTGCAATGTCTTCGCTTGACGATCAAAGGGCACTGTTTAGCAATTATAATTCTGCATTTACACGTAAGCCCTGAAAAACACAGCTCCATTTTCAAAGCCAAATTTGCAGCAGACAAGGGCCACCCCAGCATGCGCAGCATTTCCACCTATAAGCAGAGCAGAGCGAAGCCCCAGACTACCAGCAGCGGGGACACAGCCCTTCCCGAAGCCCGATCAGACGGGTTTCCCTGCACTATAGAAGACGGCAAGGATGTACTTAAAGGACACAGCGGTGCTAAATGCATCACAGGTGAGATCCTGTAAAGAAATCACCTGGCCAATGCAGAACCAAAACCAGGATTTGCCTAATCTCTGCAAAGACAAGGATCACTGAAAATAGAGCACAGTTTTTGCTCTCTGCCACCTTGCAAGCCAGAGCCGCACTCCTCCGGCACCGCAGAATGACGCCGTTTGCAGGCCTATTGTGCAAACCTACAACAGATCACACACAATTCCTTCCCGTGCCTCAGCTGCGCCGGGAAAACAGGACGAGTTTACATCGAGCTGCCAATAGAGCATGTACTTCTTAGTCATGAGGAAAATTAACCTTTTTGCCAGCATCACCTGTAACCATGGTGATAGGGGCCGATCTCGAGTTTTGTTAACGAGGCCAGGGTACTCAGAAGGGTCTGGCACTTCAAAGCCCATAGGGAAGCACAACACGCTGTGGCCAAACTTCTCTTCTGCAGGTAACCAGGCACGGGCTGGTGAAACCAGGTCGGTTTTTATGCACGTTGGTGATGCTTCTAACTTTAAACACGCTTGTATGCCAGATGTACCAAGACAAACTTGGTCCACTCTGACAGGTACTCAGCTGAAGTACATAAAAGCCAAAATGGAAAGGCTGGGTAAGTGAGTATCAGAGTCACAGGAAAGGGAGGACGAACAGATAACCAAAGTTCTTCTCTGAAATAGCACTTCATAGTCTATGAATGCACCACGTCACTGCAGCAGAAAAGGAAATTCTCTTACAAGAAAGAATAATGGTTTTGGAGAGTTTCAAATAAAAATGCTTCAAAAAATAGAAGGGGCAGGGAGAGAACAGATTCCCTAAGAAATGGGAACCTCCTCAAACCTCTTTAGCCGAGATGCTCATTTCTGTAAGCACTGCAAGGTTGCTTTTCCATTCTTATTTCAGACACACTGCTAGAACCAGGCGGAAGGCTCCAGGGAGTTTAACTTTTGCATGTCACACAACCGAACTGATAGAATATGCAACAGCTTTTACATTATATGCAAAACAAAACAAGAGAATAACAAAACAAATGATACTTACTCCTGTACTGACAAGAGACAGCATAATTCTTTCATTTAAGGCTAATGTTTCTCCTTGCTTCATCTTGATTCTCTTCTTATCTAAACATTTCATTGCATACCTGAAAATATTAACCGTTCAGAAAAAGCACCAGAAAAATTGTTCCTCCTATAGTCAGTATCATTCACTAGCAGTTATGCCATGCGTATTTACAGCATCCTGTAAGCAAGCTCTTCAAAGGCTTAAACCAGTACTAAAAACGTTATTACAGGACTAAACAAGAAAACCTCCAAAATCCCAATGAATTCAAACATTTTCAGCAGAAGCCTCCTAACGGAGAAATGTGCTTTGACAAGTAATCCCACGTCCAAACAACCACAGTGATACAGGTATTACATATCAGACATTCATTTTTTAATACCTACAAGCAAGGATTTGCGGTATGAATTAAATAGCAAGAGACTCTGTTATGGTTCCATTTAATTCTAACAGTTTCAGCTCTACCAGGAGAGTAATATCTTGAACACATGCGATGTTCCATGTATTTTTCTTCTTTTAAGTTTTCTTTCTACTCAAAGGTCAGATATAAAACAAGAAAGCTTTTTTAATCTCCTACCATCTGTATTACACAAATTAATAAAGTTTTACTCAAAAAAAGAACGTTACCCTAACAACCATCAAGCAAGAGGAGGATATAATATAGTCTGGGTATTTTTTCGAGACATTGGGCGAGCCTACTATTAGAGAACAGCTGAGAAGGATGCGTCTGTTCCTCCGGAGAAGATTTCTAGCCATGGGCAACCATGGGTTTTTAGGCCACCGGTTTCAAAATCCATTCAGGAAAACACCACGTTACAGCACCACATCGATGCCAAGCAAGCGCCTACCCTGTGACGGCACCGCCCGGGAAGGGGGCCTCAGCTCCCCTTCACCGTGCGCTCCCGAAAAAGCCACGTCATTCCTTCCATGCATGTGTCGTGAGCGGGGGAAGAGTGAGCGTGAACACACTGGAATTTTGAGTTTCCAAAACAAGGAATGTATTCACAGCACGTGCTCTTGCTGGGGAGCCTGCAAATGACGGCTATAAATAACGCTTCACACGCTGCCCTTTATTTATGCCGTGACATCACCGAGCAAAGTGAGTGACTGGGGCCGTCTAAGGCTGATGGAAAGCCAGGATCTCATCCTGACAGCGAGCCGTGTGCTCGGCAAACACCTCACGCTCTGGACTGCTTTCTGCATTGTCCCTCCGGCCCCTACTCAGATGTCCTTGCAGGAGGTGATGTGAGAGAAGCCTCAGGTGTGTCTTTGTGGGTTAGTGAAACACCGATGGCATTTACCTTGGAGGGGTGGCTTCCCAAGCTCCTTGCAGGCAGTAAGTGCAGCAGAGGCAGCCATCTAGAGTGGACGGGATCTGGATTAGGGATGGGTAAACAGGTTTGGATTAAGAACGAACTAAACCAAACCTCTACCCAGAACCTGAACCTAATCTGATGTCTCTCCTCCAAATTCGAAGCAGTTTGGTTTTCCCACATTTCGCATCCCTTTATCTCTATCTGATGAAAATTGTCCTTTGCTTCCCTTGCTAGTCCCAAGGCTTATCCACCTCCTGCCAGAGCAAAACTCACACATGAAAATGAGTGGGAATCTGAGAACTACCTCTTCAGGGTGGACGCCTACTTAGTGTGGCTCAAGCTAAATAAAACGTTTATTTTTGTACATGGACAAATTTATGAGTTGTACATGGACAAAAAAGCCCCAAAGCCAGAATAAAGACAGTATTGTTAGTAACAGTGTTAGTACTAATACTTGAAGTCACTGCAAAAATACTGATCATGATAACAACACTAAGGTGTCTTCCAGTTGTTAACGGAACTCAGAAATTTGTTATCATCAAGGGTGCCAAGCACACACACTTGCCAGTGAAGCCAGCTGCAACTGCAGAGACCTAGCACTTCAAACATGCCATGCTTACTGGGAAGAGAAATGTTTAAGGATGGTCCTTGGACTAAAACTGTTAGGAGAAAAGCAAGATGAAAGGGATGAGGTGGAGTGTAAACAAATAGAATCATAGAATCATAGAACGGCCTAGGCTGATTCTATAAATAAATGGACAGATACTGAGAACAACTTGTTAAATCAATGCCCAGACGTTCAAAACGGAACGTAACAGGGCAACTACGCCTCAAAATTGAAATCTGATAATCAGAAGTGTGTGAACAGTAAAGACCAGAAAAAAGAACAAACCCCACACTGGGTTGATCTTGGGTGTTCCCACCGCAAGCTCTGTTAAACTGAAGTTCAACGCTGGAAGCACATTCTTCCAAATGCAAGCTTTCGCCAGTGAAACGTGCTCATCGGGGCAGAAACGTATACAATTGCATAAATCCGTAACACCAGATCTGAGTCTGCCCGAGCACGACCCCAGAGACCATGCGAGCGCTGGGGTCGTGGTTCTGCGTCACCACTGCAAGAGGAGCAGACTTCAGCAGACGAGAGGTGACAGCTCGCGGGATCACCACAGGTTCCACGGGACCATCGTTCTGCGCCATCGGGCTCCCATCCCGGAAATGGTTTAAGCACACGCTTGATTTTAAACACATGTGCAGCTCCCCATTAATTCCAACAAGAGCGTTTGAACGAAGGATGTGCTTAAGAGCTCTGCTAGGCTGGCGCCCCACTGCACAGCAGGATCAGATATCAGACTAAGCTTAAAGACAATCCAGAAATCAGAACCTCTCGGGATGTAACTTAATTACAGAGAACTACGCAGTAACGCGATGCCGCTTTCCAGTGATTTTAATACGAAATGACTGGAAGGATTTCCTTACTAGTTCAGAGTTTACAATTACCTCTAAAATAAAGTGTGTATATACTCACATTTTTCCAGTGTCTGCTTTTCTGCAACCATACACTTCACCAAATCCTCCTCTTCCTATAATTCTATGTACACTAAAATCATTCATGGTCAGCTGTAAAAGCAAAAAAGAAAGCAAAATCAGACTTCAGTTTTCAGCGTTTTTTTAAACTTACTGCAACAACATCAAAGTAATCCACTAACGTGTTAAGATACTTAACTATCGTAATTCATACAGCGTTTATTGTTTTGGAAAAATGAGCCCCTTATCGTTTATACTCCGACGCACTTGTGAGCACTCGTCTGAAGTACAAACCAGACAAATGAGGCTGTTGTTGCCAAAGGCTGACCCTCTCGTTCATAACACAGCCTGCGCCCAGGAGGGTGATTTTTACAGCCAAACCCGTACCCCAGCGGTGCAGAGGGACAAAGGCAGCGGCTGAGGCGCAGGGTGCTGGGGACAGCCTCGGGACCGCAGCGGGAAAATGGGGACAGATGGTGTCTAGGGCTGGTACAGAGCAGCAATCGCAGCAGTTTGGGAGTTTTTTCAGCTATTATAAAAATCAAAAAGCTTTTAACTCAGGCAGAAGGGACATCCCGAAAGGAATCATTAGGGCCAGACATCTAGGAACAGAAGAGCAGATCAGTAACATTCGCCGTGCTCCTTAGCGAGGCCTTTGCAGAAGCAGTAGTAAAACCCGAACGTCTTCTTTTCTGTATCAGCCTGACAAGATAAATATACTTGCAAGTACTTACATGAATATTTAGTTCTACGTTTTTCCATTGACAAAATCTAGTAAACTTGTCACTGTAGAAAAAAACCAAAAGTTTAAAAGTTGTCCGAGACGACTGTACAAAGTACTACAGAAAACGTCAACACTCTGATATTTAAAATAAAGTTAGCACTAGGGCGTCTTGTGACATTTAGTAAATGACAGCCTTCCTTTCCAGCAATTGTAATCTTAACCCCCCAAGAAAAACAATTTCTAGGCAGCGCACACTTAATATTTCACATCCTTGTAAGAGAAAGCTACCAGATAACCTTACCCCTGTAATTGTAAGTGCTCGGTATGCCCTCCCATCTCCCTTTCAGAGATGTTTTTAATTTTTAAAAACAACTAAGTTTGGAACTAACAAACATTTAAATTACATAAAGAGAAAGATAATTATAAGAAAACAGAGGCAGTTTGAATTATGTTAATGAACCTCTGTATACTCTGAGGACCATTTTAAACCCATTTAATCTTAAAAGAGGCAAAAGCATCAATAATACCACAAGCTGTTGCCAAAAAATAGCTTCTCGCTTCTATATCAATAATTAAGTATTTATTTTCAGAGTAAGAAACGATAGTTCTGTGGAGGCATTTCTGCAACTGTTGCAGTTTGTACCGCTCCACACCGCATGTCTGGCTGTCGCTGGGTTAGGAGGGCTGCTCAGCTGAACTCTGTCTATGAATTGTATCCTTTACTAGACCTTTTCTGCCTAACTAATTAAATGAAGTTTATTAAACATTTTTAGCCTGATTTTACAGCAATACTTAAGGGACCTGGCTCCCTCCTCCATTAGGCAGAAAGTTCAGATATGCTGTGTTCATACCTTTCCATAAATTTCTGAAATATTTTTCCTCGGAGACTATCACAAATTTCTTCTATATATGGCTGAAAAAGGGTTAAGAAACACAATTAGAATTTAAGTATATAAGAAATTGATAATGCAGTACTACTCATTAAATACAACTCGCCTTGGCCCTATAGAACTGCAGCATTTACCGCATCTTCCTTCAAGAAGCCTCCATGAAGCACCGAAGCTTCATTTACCTTTCTGAATCTCAGCAGCATCCTGCAGCCTAACTTAAAATATTTCTAGGAGCTAGAAAAACGTAAATGTTTCTCTCGGGGAAGCTGTACAAAACCTGTGCAAAGGGCCTGCCTATGGACAAGTCTGGCGAAACAACCCCAGTAAAGTTCTTTTTTCAACTGTATTTAAACAGAATAAACGGTCTCTCCTGGGGAGTCTTGTACCTCCTGGAGCTGCTGCCACGCTTCATCTTTTCAGTGCTTCTCTCCTCCCTGTCCTTAAGTTAAGAAACCAGCACCTTCAATTCACAAATGGCTTTTTTTAGACAAACACTCGCTCTGGGTGTGTGATGGCAGCAGCGACCTCGCGTCCCCTCCCCGCTGGCGGCGAGATGTGACTCAAGCAGTGCAGTTACCCCTTTGCCAGCTCACCTAATTGCAGCATTAAAGACGGTTCACTGAGCAGTAAAGAAAAGGGCAATCTCTGTAATTTGGCAATATATAAAAATAGGAAAGATCTACATCAAAGATATTTCAGCTTCCAAACAACCCCTGATTGATGAGGTTCGTTATGTGCAAAACCACCCGGGCTGAATGCACCTCGCTAGGGAAGTCAGCGCGGAGCTCAATTTCTTGCCCTGCACCAACATATATTAGAGTTGGAACAATACAGGAAATATTTAATTTCTCATTTCTTTATTTTCTCAAGCAAGTAACAACACAAAAGCTCTATGATTTCCCAAATGACCCAGGATACCATCTATTTTTACATCCAGCAGAGGATATGCAAATCCCACACTTGCTTTTAATAACTTAGAAATTTTTCAAATTTAGAAACTGTTAGAATTGTTAGAATTTAGGAAGTTTGAAAAAAAAAAAAAACAAACACCCAAATAACAAATACCACAGTTGTAATGCTGCAGAAACTCCTGTTTGGATAGGTAACTTCTGATTGGAGTTTGTCTTGTGGGGAAACAGAAAAACACACGGGATGGTACAAATGCTTAACTCCACACCATCATCAACTAGAAATTAATGTGCCTTAAAGTAAAAGGAAAGATTTTGCATTACTGAAACATTAAGGCAATTTCTCCACGATGCAGTTTGGTTTATCCTGACAGGATGTGTATCTTGATGACATAAACTGATTTACTCCAAATCATTTAACGGCTTAAAACACCATCACTTTAAAAACTATTCTGCTCATATACCAAGATATAGTTTGCTTTCGTAAGTGTGCTTCAAAATATTTTAGATGAGAATAGTAATTTGTAATTTTTATTTTACTTCAGAAAGCATTCTTGTATCACCCTTACAGCAAAAAGTACGTACCAGTATCATTTATTCTGTCTCCTAAAATAACATGTACAAAGTCACTTACTGTCAAGTAAGTCAAGAAAACATGAACGTTCAGACTGTCTTAACCTCACCTGAAAAAGGCTGGCGGGCACTTGTTTCTTGGCTAAATGCTTTTGTACATGATCTACAGCTTGTTTTGAGAAAGGCTTTTGAAAAACAAGAAAAAGAAAAATTTCAAACAGCTGGAAATGGAAGAAGTTTCATTTAAGGTCTTTTAACTATGTCAAAACCACTTGTACCCCACAATGAACGCAATATAGCTCCCCCAAAGTATATTGTTGTGAAACATGCAGAAATAGTTACAGTCCAACAATTATTCTAACACAGGAAGGCAGGAGAGGGGAAGATAAGGAGGAGAAAGGTGAAGACAAACGGGCTGGATGCTGCTCCTTTAATAAATGAATGAAAAATCCCCCCCAGAGGGACAGCTCCACAGACAGCAGCACACTTAACAAAAAATGGCTTAAACCCTTCCTCCAAAGAACCACGCCACTAGGCTAACGCACATCACAAACTCCTCTTTGAAATAATATTAAATACAGATCAAGTGGCCGTAACTCCAGCCGGAGGAAAGTCGAGATTTCACAGGCTTCAACAAAGCTGCATCTGTCACCACGCTGCCCCACGCCTCTAACTTCTATCATATTTTAAAACAGAAATTTAAAGAAACATAAACCAGGTAACTATTTCCTTTGCACACCCCCAAGTTTAATAAAAACTGGCACACACCACTAATATTTACACCTCATTAGTTTAAAAAAAAAAAACAACAACCAAACCAAAATCACGCTGAATTCAGCCAAATCCAGTCCCAGAGACTTCAAATGGAAATCCACAGCACAAGTATTTGCAGTAACAATCCCCGTTCCCCTAATGAAACAGCAGTTATTTTGAATTATCGCTGCTGTCAAGCTACTCAAGTAAGGCAGAGCAGGGCGAAGTTTGGACGATACACACGTGTGAACAGGACAGGAGCTCCTTCATGATGTACGTGTCATAAATCTGCCGACTCCGGGTCAGACGCTCATCCTCAGAATCCAGCTTCTCGTATTCCTTTATCTGCAACACAAGACAGAAGGATCCATTAGAGGAGCCCCCACCTAACGACTTTTCACTCGTTTGGTAAATACAAGCCTCTGGCCAAAGTTTTATTTTACTTTTTACTTTCTTAATTAAGAATTAAAGAAAAACCACCTGCAATACCATAGTTACAGCTGACCTCCTACCTTAGGATTTTTATGCAAGGAAATCCATTTGCTCAAAATTGCTGGAAAGCCTCGTTTTCTAAACTTTGAAAAGAAGCAGCCAGTTTTCCCCGACACCACTGCCCGAGCACAGACCTGTGCTGGGGCAGCCCGACACCGCCTGCCCAGGCAGACTGGCCACAGTTCAGCTCTGTTTGAATCCCGCAGGTGCCTAGAGAGACAGCTTTGCAAAACAGATCATGTTTTCCCAGACACAGGAGGTCAGGGTGTTCCAGGTAACGCAACTGCAATCCATACAGTTAATTTACAGAACGAAACCTGACAACCAGTTCCAGACAAAAAACTTCACAGAGTCCCAGGGCCCTTCGGAGCGTACCTAGCACTGCCAAAATGTAAAAACCCGCACAAGATCTTTAGGGCAAAGACTCTGCTCAGGCTCTCTGGACCTTCCCAACGCCAGCCTGCAAGGGCCCAGGGTCCAAATCAATGTGAGTGTGCAGATTTCTCTGGATCCTGACAGCGGTTTAATGAAACCAAAGCAGAACGAGCCCCGGCTGGATTTCATGCAGTGCTTGGATGAGAAGGAACAGGCCAGGTCAGAGCTGTCTGTACTCTGAGCCCACAGAATGAACCCTGCACAAGCGAGGAACCAGATCATCTCCTGCCCAGGAGGAGGAGGAGGAGGAGGAGAACATCCTGGCCAGGCACCCGGCGACCAGGAGCTGTTCCTGCCAGCTCTGCTTTAACAGCCAGAGCGGCCCCAGGGCCAGGAGAAAGCACGTCGGTCAAGACTTACAAGCACAGATTTTTAAAAAAAATGCATTTTGCCTCTGTGTCACAACATACTTTTTTTTTTCTCCCCTTCATTCAGAGGCTGTTCCTTTCACAGGATGAGCTGTACCCAACAGCTCTTCAACAGGTCCCACGTGACAGCCCAGACCAAGCTACTGCTGAAGGTGGAACACACAGCAACTGAACGGGGTATTTTCCTACTTGTGGTCTCTTTATTTTATTAACGCAACACGTCCACGACGATTTGCCATCTGCGACTACTTCCCCCTTGGTAGCAATTTATAACTAAAATGATTCAAAAGAACTTTGCCAAAGAAACACTTTTTAATTAACTCAACGCCATAAAATAATTACAGAAGAAAGCCTGATGCACATCATATCGTCTTACTTGAATGCGATCTCCTGCCTTTCAGTATTTTATTAAGCCATTTAATAAAACTCAGAGCAGAGGGGACTCTTGCAGTAGCCTCCCCAGTCACACCGGCACTAAGTCAGCATCTCTCCCAACTGCTTCTACAAAAAAAAAGTTTAACCAAAATTCCTGTGTTCTGTGAAGGTTTGGAGAGGACAGCAGGTGACAAAACCCACGCCCTCCTGGTCGAGCTGCCCAATGCGCCGCTCATCCCAGAAGTGATGGGGCACGACACCCCCGCTGCAATCCCACGCGGCATCCTCGCCCGACATACGCACAAGGTCGGTTTATGTTTGTTAAATAGAATGCTCCTGCACCGCGCCGAAAAAATGCAGCGACAGGCAGAGCTGGGAGTGTCACTGGTTATAAATGTCACCCGGCTCCGCCAGCAGCAGCTCCCACGGGATCGCTCCTGACCCAGAGGAAAGGGGCTCGTCGTGTATTCCATCGCTTCCCCTGGCAAACTTCAGCCCACCTTAAGAAAAAGTCTCTTTTCAAAAATTGAAATCAGAATGCATTAGTATCTAGAAGGGGTTTTTTTAAATTTTCTTTTTTTTTTTTTTTTGAAACCAATCTGCATTAATCACTCATCCAGCTAAATGCTTGATCGTGACTTAAGCTGCAGTAATATGAAATCCCTGGAGTATGGAGCTCTTCTACATCAAGCAATTTTTAATGTAGCAATGTACTCAAATTATTCTACATGTAATAAATGCAGTAAGTAAATCAAATACATAAAAAAAAGAAAAGCTGCTGAATCCGGTATGTCACAGAAGAAAATGCAATGAGCCTATCTTTAAATATCTTTAATGGGACTTTTTGAAAAGTACATGACAAAGCATTTAAATTCTTTTTAGGCAACACTTTGCTAATAACCTAAAAATACAATTCCAAATTGTTGGAGAGATAAAGAGGTTGCTAAAAATATCTTGCTAAACAATCTGTTACACCATGCCTTTTCGATTACATACGACAGCAATGCCTTTACTATATAAAAAGATGGTAACAATAGAAAATTATTTTTCTTTATTGACAGCAAGTACCTCATCTGAGTGGGGGAACTGCATATCGGGAAGGACCGATCTCCAATCCGAAAACCTATTCTGTGCTGTTAGCCCACTAGCAGGAAACATTTTCAATCGCCAGCTTAAGAGTAATCGAGACAAAGGGTTACCTCAGGCAGCATTTCTAATTAACACCGAGCAATACAGGCTGCCTGTTCAAAGCACGTGTGCGTGTTTTAACTGAAACCAGCACCTCTGAGAGGATTAACTACAGTTTTATATTTAGTGCCACAAATACAACAGGGAATGAATGGAGCGATGAGACTCGCTGAGTTTCCTCGCGGCAGTGCTGCCGGGGCCGGCTCAGCAGAGGAGAGCTGAGGAGGGGCACGACGAGCTCCCCGTGCCCTTCCCAATTATTAATCCTCCCGGCTGCTCGCCTGCCTCGGGCTCGATGTCTGCCAGCTTCTTCACTGATGCTCTTGTGACAACGGAGCACAACTGACCTCAGCGATCTAAAGCCACCTCCGTGTCGCTCTGCGGGTGCCCCTCTCACCCGCCCAGCACTTGGCAGGGCTCTGCTACAGCGACTCCCACAAGGGAAAAATTCCCACTGGGAAAAATCTCTTTACTGAGAGCGCGGTGAAGCCCTGGGAAAGGTGCTCAGGGCAGCAGTGGAGTCCCCATCCCTGGAGGTGTTAAAAAAAAGTGCAGATGTGGCACTTGGGGACGTGGTTTGGTGGTCATGGTGGGGTTGGATTGACGGTTGGACTTGGATGATCTCTGAGCTCTTTTCCAACCTTAATGATTCTACGATTTTATGAGTCTCTGAACCTCAGACGGCAGCTGAAGGGCTGTTAGAGAACACCATGAAGCGGCGTCACTCACAGCCCTTCCACGAGCCCTGGCAGCAGCTGCCCACAAGAGGGCACGGCTCTTGGCCCAGGAGGGTGCCTGGGACAGCAGGCGCAAGGCCTGGGTGTCTCACTGACACGGAGAGGGCACTGGGAAAGCTCCAAGGAGCAAGATGAGGGATGCAGAAGACCAGAGATGTCGGCTGCATCCACACTCCACTCCCTGCTTTTGCTCTCTGGGACAACAGATGATAGATTTGCTTATTTTCACTTTTCTGACTTTAAGGAAAATCTTCACTTTGTGCAACAGATATGAATCCACGTCCCACAACAGCTGTAACAATCAAAAGCACTGGTTTTACTTTCAGGTCTTTTTGAAAGAAGGAATCCGCTGTTGTAATTCCACTGTGAGCTGGGAAATGTTACTTACTTTAACTTCATCTCTGGTTTGTAGCAGAACTACGATGTATCATCATCTTCAAAAGTGAAGATCCCATTTCTCAAGAACACACCTCGCTTAACAATGTACCAGAGATATTTAACAAGTAGAGACTGAGATGAACCTAATCTCAGCTCATTTCTTATGAATATTTCAAATTAACCATAATCAAAGAGCGTACCTTGTGATAGATAACATTAATAAACCTAAAGATATTTTAACCTCAGTTAGTATTCTTCCCCTCACCATTATTCCCTCAGTATTTCCCAAGTTATCCTTTGACACATGAAGCTGGTGAATGAACACCTGATTTAGAGGCTGCTCAGGTACACTTCTTACATTGTTTTGTTCTCAGTATATTATGCCTTAACGCCAAACATACACCTTGAAGGTAAAAAACTGTAACAGTAGCTTTTAAAATGTTTTGCCAGCTTATGTTTAGTGAAAAGACACAGTTTCAGTATATGCAAATAAAAGCAGTTAGGAGTTGAGCTAAGTAGGTTTTTCCTGCAAATATTTCATTTCCTAAATCTTTAAGTATTTGCCCAGGAAGAGGGCAAAAAAATCACCTCGTGTACTCTCACAAGACACACTGTAAGAGCACTGTACCAAATCACCGATTTGACAAAACAGTTACATTGCTATTTTTAAAAGTCTCTTGAACTTGTTTAAAACGACAAATTTGTCCCTTTGACATACAACTGTCACTACAGAAAATATTGCTGCTTGCAAAGGAATCGCTTCCACTGTGAAGCCAAAATAACCGGGAATCAGCAGGCACCCCCGAGCATCCCCCCTCCTCCAACTCTCCGTTCAGCCTCACGGCCACTCACCTCTTCATAAAACTTCAGCTGAGGGACAGCTTCATCGATCTCATTCATGCAATAGTCTTTAAAAAGCAAAAAACCTGGAAAGAAAAAGAAATATTAGAAAAAAATAGATCACTGCCAGTATAACTTGTGAAAGAGGACTCGGAGCCAGGCGGGGAGCATCCTTTATGATTCAACGAACCTGAGATTGTAGAAACCCACGTAAGCACCCCCCTGGCCAGGGCGCAGCGATACCCATTATGGAGCAGCTCTGAACAGAAAGGGATCATAAACCTCACTCACCTCCCACAGGTATATTAAGCATATTCCAATTTCTACCTGCTGAGGTTTCTTATGAGACGTTTACGTAACGCACCAAAATATCCCATGCCTCTTTAGTGGGTCAGATTTTGCTTCTCTTTCTTGGAGCGAAAACTAGATACGATTTACATGTTTTGATTTTTTTCAGAATAGATTTGCCCACTTTTTAGTAATAAAAAGAAAACTCTTCTGTATTTTGATTTTAGAATTACTGGTTAATGTTACCTCTAATAGGTTTTATAGCACAATAAATCACATCAGGTCTTTATAGCTCCTTTGTGAGTAATTTAAAGCATGACCTCTGCAGCCTGCTGACGAGTATTTTCCATTATAAGGATTATAGTGTGCTCTTAGAAGCTCCATCTCTTGGAAATGCTGTCTTACGTGCTCCTGGGCTGGTACTTGCTCCTCTTTTACGTACTGGGGTTATCTATGGTCACAGCTCATCACCTGGGTTACCTGCGAGCCCCTTCAGAGCCTCAAATGAAAGAAAAAGATATATATTCTGCTTCCGGTTCCCGGTGGTGGGCGATACCTTTCCTTATGTAGAATTACTGTGTGCTGACTGACACCACACCCAGCTTTCGGAGGTGAGACCACAAAAGTGCAAAAACTACAGCAGCTGAGCAAGGGAGGGGAGGCAGAGCAGCTCCCCCCACTCCCCTGCGCAGATCCTCTCCCAAAAGGGCACTGCATCAAGATACAAAACATCCCTTTTCAACCTGAAAAAAAAATAAAATATATACACAAGAAACCTATTTTTTTTAAAAAAAATTTAGTGTCATTGTAACTTCAACTCACAGCGAAATCACGTTACCACAAAGCAGCACGTCGCTGGATGCTCAACTCAGAAACAACAGAACCTCGTGTTTTCCCGAACATCTTTAAGAAAAAATGCAAATGCACTTCCCGTGCTACTTCGTCATCTCATTGTAGTGTGTATAGGAGAGCACTTAACTGTCTGTCATCACGTCCTTCCAACTCACTAGCATCTCATTTTATCAAAGACCTAAATAAAAAACCCAAATTGACTTGGAAGCAAAACCGCTGGTCTCAGCAGACAAAGCAAGGCTAATCAGGGAAACAAAGGCTTTAATTTATGTGTAATGAAAACATTTATCAGCATCTTGGCAGCCTCTTTAGCTACATCTGGATCCCAAGTTAAATTTCGTATTTGGGCAAGTTCATTTCCTGGGGTGTTGTGGATTTATTTGGCCACAGTCAGAACCCCAGGGAAGGGACCAGGCAACTCCTGTGCTTCGCGTGACTCCACTGAGCTGCCCAGGATGATATTCTGAAGATGATACAAACTGGGTTTTGGTCTCCACATAAGGGCAGAAAGCCAATTAAGAGGTTCTCTTAGGAGATGCCCAAAACTTTCTAACTATTCTCAACAGAAACAGTCATCCTGGAAATTTCATCGAGAAATGTGCTTTTTTTTGGAAAACAAACCATTCAACCCCAAGTTTTCTATTCCTTAAAAGTAATTTGCAATAAGAGTGGTGGTGTGGGTTGGATGTTTTTATTTCCTCCTTTCTTCTTTTTTTAGGGCTTGTCTTAGTTCCTATTTTACTGCAAGCATTCTTAATAAGTTGTCTTCCCTTGCGGCACAGGAGGCTGCGCTCCTCTCCCTGGTGCAAGAACAAAATCCGGCCCTTACGGAACTGAACCCGATTCATTAACTTGTCTTTTACATGTGATCGAAAGAGCAGCAGCACTGAGCAAAAAATAATGCTGAATTGACTGAAACTTTTATTTGGACAACGAACCAAAGAAGATTGCAGTCGTGTAATTAGGAGACTAAAGAGTGGCACAAACAGCAACGAGCGCAGCGAAAGAAAAATCCTTGGCGCGGTCCCAGCTCCTGGCTGTTTACCAAAAAAACCCACAAAAAAAAAAAAACAAGAAAAAAAACACAACAAACCCACAAAGAAAACTGTGGGAGGAGTGCGAAAATACACCAACAGAAATTTTCAGCAATGCCACCCAAATGCTTTAGCCCCATTTAATGTTTCCCAAACTTTTAAATGTAAGGATGGGAAGGAAAGGGAAAAGTTTGTTCACCGGAGCAGAGAACAAGGAACAATATCGGGGCTTGTGCTGCTCGCCCAGCTCAGCCTCCTGCTCACACTGCTCAACGCAAAAAACTGGAGACAGCCGACACATCAGAAACTTCCATAGATGATAACGCAGTTGTTGTAAGTTACAGCCATAAGAACTGGGTATTACATTACACCTGGGGAGTGTCAAGAATTCGCCATTGTCTTTTCAGCAAAATACCCAAATGTTCCTCATAAGGAATGCTGCTTGGATACCCATGAGGTTGACATGAAATAGGTATTCCAAGTTCTCTTTGAAGAATCTATGGACTGGGCACGTTTCTGCAGGTATATGAAGATATACAGACATGGAGCTTATATAGTCCTTAAAATATCTGGGTTACACATGGACCAACTTCCCTCCACAGAAAGGTTTCTAAGATTATTTTTTGAAAGACACATTCAAACCAAGCCATCCGAAGGATTACGTCCCCTGGTATCAGCACACCTGAAATCTTTCCACTGTCCTGAATTCAAAACAATCCAATTAGAGCTTAATGTTCCCCGTGCTGGAAGAGCTGCTGTTTCAACCTCCCATTGCACCAACAGATTCTGCACTTCCACCACAGCATAAAGGAAATCTCCTTTTTTGCTGATGTTCTTAGACTGAAAAACTATTAGCCAGAAACTGCAGCTCTCAGATAATAGCAAAACTACCTGACAGACGAGGCATTGAATAAGTGACAGTAGTTTTAAGGAGTTCAGGGAGAACTGACGTAAAGCACAATAAGCACAGTTAACTACACACAGAAAAATAAGACCAAGAACAGAAAGCAGAAATTAAAAAAATGATAGCGTTAAGTAACAGATGAAAGGAACCGGCAATTATTTATGAAATAAAGATACTGACAGTTTTTGCGTTAAAAGATTTCTCCTCCCGTACTATATAATTTCTGCAACAACCAGATCATCACTAGTTGCTGAGGGAAACAAAAAACATTTTTAAAAAGCTTCTTCCAGTAACACCAAAGTGCTGGATGATATCAATAATACACGCAGGCGAGTGCGAGACAGCGCCCAGCCGCAACCCTCTGCTTCCCCAGCTCTGGACAATAATTTTTCCCCATTATCGTCTTATGCACAATCCTGTACAGCTAAGTTTGCCAAATACCATTAATTGCACTAATTAGCAAGACAAAATGTCTTTCAGGAAGGGATAAAGACGACCCTTGAGGTTTGCAGCTCAGTCTTAACTGGATCCTCAGACTAGGCAGGGCTGGGGAGCAGCAGCGAGCGGCCGAGCACGAGGGGACTCGGGTGAGAAAGTCTGTGCCCACTCGAGTGATCCAACCATTCCCAGGGCTCACCCCGACCCGGCAAGGTCAGCTTCACAAGCTCCGAGGGGAATCCAGTTAACCCATCTCTTTTGAAAAAAAAAAGAACGTAATTTTACTTCAATGGTTATTTCAAACAGTTATGGTTTTCTAAAGTGATTTCAGAAATTTTGCACAAGATCCTGACTCTCATGTCAACTGCAAACCCTCACCCCACCCCTGAATTAGTAACATCTGCTTTTTATTTCCTGAATTCTGCACTTTGTAGGGCCAGGCTCGGGCAGAGAGCAGAAATGCAGCTGGTGACCAGCCCACAC